CCGCCTCCCGGCCCGCTGGCACCCAGGCTCCGGCTGGAGAACCCGAGGCCCGAGTAGACATTTTAGGACCCTCACCCCTTCACGGGGATGCACCTTCTCCCTGTCGGCCCCCGTCCCCCCATTCCGGTTCCACCGAGGAGCGTCGGAGCTTTGGGGGACCTGGCCACCGGGGCGCCCACAACAAAAGCCCGCGCGGTTCCCACGCTTGCACTCCGAGGGGAGCGCAGAGTTGGGGACCGGGAAGCTTGGGTCTTGGGGTCCCCTGGCCGGGGAGGGCGGTGTGGGGGGGCGCTGGTGCTCCCCTGGGGCTGCGAACAACACCTCCAGGTGGAAAGGCTGGCTTTTTGGTGGTACCCGGAAGAGGCCAGGAGCTGAGGTTTGGGAATGACAAGGTAGTGCGGATTTGCAGGCTCACAGGGAGACTGCCAGAACATTTGCAGTGAATCCTAGTTTAGCAAGTTAACACGAGAGAGACTCCAGAAGCCACGGCCTGAAAATACACTCCTCTTTCTTCTTTCTTTTTGTGACAGTAATGTAGCCCATTGGATGAACACCAAGGCCACATCCAGAATAGGATATTCTAGAATCCATGGTGGTTACCCTGCGCACTGCTCCCGGGCAGCCGTGCGAAGTAGGTGGATGTAATGAAAAGAAATGACATTAAATCTGAACAGAGTTGTGGGTAAATTCCCGGTGCTAAAAGGAAGAAAAATGAACACCGTCCGCCCAAGTTCCATTTCCCTTCCAAATAATTAGTTTAAAAACTCACGTTGGGCTCTGCAGTGAGAGAGGATTTTTCTCTTAGCCTGTGTGTGAGATAAAAATCTGAAAAGGCCGAGGTTACCAAGAAAATGTTGATCTTCATTTTCTTGAATTGACTGCTGGATTATATGTGCGCTCTGTTGAGACACAGAGCAATTAAATTTAGTTCTCAGATTGGGCTCTCTATTTGGAAAGCCCTAAAGAAAAACGATGATCAGCCACAGCCCAGTAATAACAGTGATGATAAAAAATAAAGGTGAATATAGGATTCTCTTCTGTTTTATTGCTATTGTTTACCTTCTTAGAGCCAATAGGTCCATAGTACTAAATATCGATTAATTCTCTTTCTGCCTGGCTTGGGTTAAGAAGGCAATCTAATGAGGGCTTTTCCTTTTTTGATTTGTTTTCCTATCTTACACATTTGCAAGCCTAGGCATGAGAAAATGAACAGAAAACAAGCTACAACACCCAAAGCTGGTGAGTGAGGGGACAGGGAAATGGTCCGTGTCCCCAGGCTGTTCAAGACTGGGTTGATTCTCTGCCTTCAGGTGGAGCGGGAAGCTGGGTCTAAAGCTGTGCTGTGTGGGTGACAGCTGGAAGGCTCTTTCTAGTCTTGGTATCATATGATCTGTCACTCCTCCCCAGCTACCATCACTGTACTTATACAGAAGGTCCCCCCTCCCCAAAGGCTTGATGGGAGCTATTGATTTCACCCATTCAAGAATCTCGTTTAAATTATTTATGGCAACAAAGTATGTTCATTTGCTGTACTTTCAACAGCAATCTTGGTTATAGTTTTAAGATAAATTTCAATTGGAAAATTCATTTTCCAGCCAAAGATGGGTTATTGACAAGGGTTTGTAATCATTTTCAGTATTTCAAAGAGCAGGAGGAAGATGGGTGGCGGCCTGTAAGCCTGGCTACTCAGGAGGTTGAGATCTGAGGATCCCAGTTTAAGGCCAGCCGGGGCAGGATGAGTTCCTGGACTCATTCCTCAATTAAGCGGAAGTAGTGCTGTGGCTCAAATGGTAGAGAGCTAGCCCTGAGCAAAAGGAGCTCAAGAACAATGCCTAGGCCCAGAGTTCAAGCCCCAGGGGTGTGTGTGTGTGTGTGTGTGTGTGTGTAAGCATAATAATATAAGCACAGCAGTATAGTTTTCATTTTATACATTAGCCCTGTCCTTGCTTCCAGAGCGTGCTAGATTTATAGATTTTACAGTTGGCATAAATCTGGGTGAACCTTATCTGAAGACATTATCACATGGGATTTGTATGTTAATCCATGTATTAATTGCTGAGTATCAGACACAACTGTCACCCATCCAGAAAAAAAAAAAAAAAGAGTTCTCATCCATTCCCAGAATAGATGCAGGAAATGGGAATGCTATTAGCCCAGCATTGAACTTCCTTAAAAATGGATTGGGTTTACCATTTCTTTTCCTCTTAAAGGTAGTTCAGTGCCTCTGTAAGTCTTTCCTTTGTTAACTTTTTCTGTTGTCATAGGTGTTAGGGCAGACAGTCATCTTTTAAAAAGCTTTCCAGAGTCCAATTCCAATGTGCCTTAAGTGTGTGAAAATGTGTGCTTCAGTTCTTTGTCCTTTACCTATGCCAGTCTTTTAAATCTCAGGAACTGTTAAAGTTCAAACACGGGTAATTCTGTTAGATACTTTGGTTGAGATACATTTTGTTTAGTGTGTGGCACCCCATAATTAGTCAGGAAAATAGAATTATACTTAGTTAATCATTAATCTTACTCTATAAAATGCTCTTCAGCTGAGTGCCCTCCCTGGGAGAGCTGCATGTTCAGTAGCTGGAATATTGGATACTTTTCATCCTTTTGAAAATAATTATAAGGGCAAACTTTACAAGCTTTTTTCAGATTATTTTGCCAGCTAATACAAGAGAAGCCATGGTCTGAGATTTAATGATATATTTATAAGAAGAGTGAGAATCTTGGATGTTAAAATTGACTTCCATAGAGTTAGTTTTTAAATGCTTCTGTAAGTCACTGTTAAAACAAAGTTTTCTGACAAGGTCTTCCATGTGGTTAAGAAAGGATAAAATGGGACATCTGTTTTTGTCTCTCTCTGTTTCTTGTCTCTGTCTCTGACTTTCTGTCTGTCTTTCTCTGTCTCTGTCCATCCATCCGTCTGTCTGTCTCTATCACACACACACACACACACACACACACACACACACACCATGGAATGCGTTTAGTACTTTGAATGTCACATAGTAATTCTTGAACACGTGTGACGTATTTCTGCTTTATCTAGTGCCACTTAGGGAGTTCTATTTGTGACAATAAGTATTTTCTATGTAGGTTCCTTAATAGTCCTAAGCTATACTCATGAGTTTAGGAATGGCTAAATTCTTTTTCCACATTATCCATCATGGGGAAGTGTGAAATCAATCAATCAGACATCCAACTCTTACAAAGAGAAACATATTTAAAACTCACTCTCAAGATTTTAATAATATCTGCCTTTTAATACTCTCAAATAGCTTTTCATTTTTCAATCTCTCATTCTAAAGCTGATGATTGAGTTTTCAGGTCATGTAGCACTGGCTTTGTTT